CCATACAGCAGCAACCACAGGTTTTATGGGAAAAGATATTACACCACAACAGAACTTCATTATCTCACAGAGACAGTTTTAAAATGATGCACCTTGTATGCTAACCTACTATGGATACATTAAAAAAATCTCAAATCAGTATATGACCGCCTACATGTAAGTCACCCTGACAACTTTCTAAGGCTAATTATCAGTCAGGCTCTCACTAGGCACACTCCTTTATTGAGATAAAATGCTATCTGATTTCTCCATTTATTAAGTTCAACATATCTAAATGTAAGTCAGGAAAATATTAGAAATGCATTCCAAAAGCGCAGAAGTGAAAAGATATTGTTGACCAACTCTCTCCCAATTAAACAGGTTGGAACAGCAGTGGTGATGTGAGGGGCGGCCATCTGTCAGTACATAAAGGACCTTGTGTTTGCACACAAAGACACTGCTCAACCCACATCTGGTTCCTGCAGCCAAACTCTACCCTCACTGGAGCAACTCCCACTGAAATATATGGGCATAAAGAACAGGCGAATGAATTTTTTAAAAGCCAGCTGTTGATTCATAAACACTAGATACATGAGGGAATCAGGATGGAATTGAGTGTGCTTTTCTACTTTCATTTCTTTTTAAAAAGAGAACAAGGAGGCCATGACAGAATTTGCATTGGTATTTGCATTGGTATTGCAAACTTTTCCTGGTGGCTCAGACAGTAAAGCATCTGCCTATAATGCGGGAGCCCTGGGTTCGATCCCTAGGTTGGGAAGATCCCCTGGAGAGGAGGAAATGGCAACGCACTCCAGTACTCTTGCCTGAAAAATCCCATGGATGGAGGATCCTGGTAGGCTACAGTACATGGGGTCGCAAAGAGTCGGACATGACTGAGTGACTTCACTTCACTTCTAGGAGATCAGATTTCTCATCCCGTATAACCTTAGGAAATTCTCCTGAATTCACATGTTTCTTTTCTCCTGATAAGGTATTCTCCTATCTCTTGCTTTCCCAAACCATAACGTGTAAGGCACAACTCAGTTCCTAGCTCATCTGGGAATCCTTTCTCCTTATTATTTCTGCTTGTTTCCTATTCTAACCTGTTCTATTTAGAAATTTAGCATATATTTATAAACTTCCCCTAATGTTCTCAACGTCTCCTAAGCTAAAACTGGGATTACTCTTTGCCGACAGAGTTATTTATATAGCATGAAGTATATAATCAGAAGAAATTCCTATAGGGACTTCCCTGGTCATCCAAGGGTTAAGAATTCTCTCTGCAATGTGGGGGATGTGGGTTTGATCTGTGACTGGGGAACTAAGATCCCACACACCGCAGAGCAACTAAGCCTGAGCCACAACTGAGCCCACACGCTCCAGAGCCCACATGCGAAAACCAGGGAGTCTGTGTGCCACAACAAAAGGTCCCACATGATGCAACAAGGGCCTGCATGCTGCAACTGAGACCCAACACAGCCAAATGAATAAATATGTTTTAAAAAGACATTCCTATAAAGCATCAAGTAGTGGGCACCACTGCATCAAAGTTTCTCATAATACTCACTCACTTTGCTCAATATTTGAGATTTTGAAAAGGGTTGTACCAACATAGTAGATAGGAATATACACTCTAGATTCAGATTGCACACATTTCATTTCCAACTCTTATTTACTGGCTACTATGGAAAAGACCCTGATGCTGGGAAAGATTGAAGGCAGGAGGAGAAGGGGATGACAGAGTATGAGATGGTTAGACGGCATCACCGGCTCAATGGATATGAGTTTGAGAAAACTCCTGGAGTTGGTGATGGACAGGGAAACCTGGCGTGCTGCAGTCCATGGGGTCGCAAAGAGTCTGACATAACTAAGTGACTGAACTGAACTGATGTCATAAGTTAGGCAAAGTATCTAACTTGCAGCTCTTTTCCTGTACAAATGAGAATAATAATAATAGTGCCTAACTGATATGGTTGCTGTGAGGATTACATGAATTACTACATGCAAAGGCCCCAGGATCATGCCTAGTGTGTCTGCAATTAATTTTCACTACTATTATTCTAAACTGAAATTTTTAAAAAGCATAACAGGTTTCTTCATGAAAATGGAAGAAAATAAGCTAAACTTCTTTTTCTTTCACAGTGAACAATTTCTTCTTTAGGCTACCAACAGAAACAGATACTTCAATCCCTCAGTTCAGTTCAGTTCAGTTTAGTCGCTCAGTCGTGTCCGACTCTTTGCGACCCCATGAATCGCAGCACGCCAGGCCACCCTGTCCATCACAAACTCCCAGAGGTTACTCAAACTCATGCCCATCGAGTCGGTGATGCCATCCAACCATCTCATCCTCTGTCATCCCCTTCTCCTCCTGCCTCCAATCCCTCCCAGCATCAGGGTCTTTTCCAACAAGTCAAATCTTCGCATGAGGTGGCCAAAGTATTGGAATTTCAGCTTCAGCATCAGTTCCTCCGATGAACACCTAGGACTTATCTCCTTTAGGATGGACTGGTTGGATCTCCTTGCAGTCCAAGGGACTCTCAAGAGTCTTCTCCAACACCACAGTTCAAAAGCATCAATTTTTCGGTGCTCAGCTTTCTTCACAGTCCAACTCTTACATCCATACATGACCACTGGAAAAACCATAGCCTTAACCAGACAGACCTTTGTTGGCAAAGTAGTGTCTCTGCTTTTTAATATGCTATCTAGGTTGGTCATAACTTTTCTTCCAAGGAGTAAGCGTCTTTTAATTTCATGACTTCAATCCCTACTCATATGCAAACTTGGTGACTTAATTCACCTCTTTTGTGAGTCAACAATTCTATTCCTCACTTAAAAAAAAAAAAAAAACATATTCAACTACTGGAGTGTTACTGAGCTGAATCTACGTGCCAGTTACAACGTAAATGGGTATACACACACAACTTAATTCTCACAAAAATTTTTCTTGTTATATGTATGAATCCTATTTTACAGATGAAAACACTGAGGTGAGGTGAAGTATAAGATTATACAGTTATTAAGTGGCTAAATCAATAATGGGATCAAAGTCTACTAGTTTCAGACTCCATCTCCTTTCTGCCAAATATCATATTACTTGCCTACAGTTCCTTTTCCCCTTAACTCACCCACATATACCTAATAGCAGAGCAGAACATAGAGATGCTCCCTCAGAGATCACCCATGTGGTCTTGCTGAAGTACACAGTCCTGCAACTTCCCATTTCTGTTCCTCTAGTCTCATGCCCATGTAACTTCCTTTCTGGTGGTAAGACATGAGATGCTTAGAGCTGGATTTAGAGTTCCCATGCCTTCCTTCTAATGATTTACAGATTTTTAAATGACTTTTGTGATGCAGTGCTTGCTCTGACAAATTACCTGACATTCTGAAATAATAATGTTTTAAAATTTTAAATTAAGTACTATTCTGTACTAACTCATAGAAAAGAATTATGGATTTATCTAAAAACTTTAATAAGCTTATTCTTGGGGACAAAAGCAATCAAGTAATAGGACAAGTACAAGAAATAAAGATTGGAAGGAGCATGGAGGAAAACTTATAGGAAGAGAGGTCAAGAAACTGAGAGGCCAGTGCATTTTTAAAATTAATTTATTTTAATTGGAGGATGAATACTTTACAACATTGTGATGGCTTTTGCCATACATTGTCATGAATTGGCCAATGCCTCATTAGGATCATCTATAGTTACTGAAAAATCATCCAGAACTGTGATAGGTGTAGTGTAGGGGAGGTATCCGTGAGCCAGAGGGGAAGGCATTCTAGGAGCAGCAGTGAGAAACAAGACACTCCAACTCCAAGTATAGAGATAAGAGAAATAGGACAGTGAAAACAGCCGTTGTTTGTAAGGGCTGCAGGAGAAGCAAGGTCTTTCCTGAGAAGACTAAGGAAAAGACTAACGTAAAGGTATGGAAAATCAACATATTTTGCCATTATACAGATAATAAAAAATCACGTGCTATTCATTTCTAAAAAACCTCTAACGATGATAGAACCTGTCAAGTACACATAGAAAACAGTTCATGTAGAAGAGACAAGAATAATATCTTCTACCTGTCTAGCATCATCCATTACTAAAAATCAGATATTCTGCATAAATGCTAATAAGGAACTGATTTTACAATATTTTAAATGAAAAAAATTACAATGCATTACATGTTAACACAAAACTACCAACCAACTTCCTAAATTGCAATTAAAACACAGAAAAGCACCCTTATGGCTTCCCCTGTGGCTCAGTGGTAAAGAATCCGCCTGCCAATGCAAGAGACATGGGTTCAAGCCCCAGGCTGGAGAAGGAAATGGCAACCCAATCCAGAATTCTTGCCTGGAGAATTCCACGGATAAGAGGAAGCTGGCGGGCTACAGTCCATGGGGTCACAAAGAGTTGGACATGACTGAGCACCCAACGCTCATTTTCACTGGAAGGGCCTAGAAGTTATTGCTTCTAGAAAGCAGGCTACATTCTCAATACTTTTGCTCTATGAAATTTAGAGAAACTATTGGTGGCTCAGACAAAGAATCTGCCTGCAATGCGGGAGACCTGGGTTGGATCTCTGGATTGGGAAGATCCCCTGGGAGGCCATGGCAACCCACTCCAGTATTCTTGCCTGGAGAACCCCATGGACGGAGGAGCCTGGTGGGCTGCAGTCCATGGGGTCGCAAAGAGTCGGACACAACTGAGCTTAGTTAAGCACTGCACATTATAAAGCAAAATTGATTACCCAAGTACTCTGAAGAACTAAATCAGTAAATTAGAAGCTTTTTAAAAAAATAATTCTATTGTGGTATAGTTAATTTACAATGTTGTGTTAGTAGAAGCTTTTAAATTAGACATTAAAAATAACATGGACCCCAAGTCAAAATGATAAAAAGAATATGAAATGTTTGATGAATCTATGTCCCCTCTCCCCCTTTATTTATACCAGTCTGGTCGTTGAGAGCAGGGGCCGTCTTCTGTGTGTGATAAAACAAAATTAATTTTACCTTCAATCTCTGCTGCTTACCTGTTGCAGACTATGCTGAGAGCTCCACGTGGATTACAGTCACAGGGCAGACAGGGTCCGGAAGTACCATTCAGGTAAAAACCCTCCATGCAGGTTTCACAGTGAAGACCCTGGTAGCCTGGCTGACACTCACACTGCCCTGTAGTCTGGTTGCAGTGATTCGCATCCAGGCTTCCGACTGCAGAGCAGTTACACACATATTCTGCAAAGAGAAGAGAGATAAAGATATTATCAATTGAGAGTTAATGCATTCTTAATAAAATAAACTCTTTTATTTTTCTTGGTAAGCATTCATGACAACTTTGTAAGGATGGGTAGAATAAATTCTAGTACAAATTCACTTTCTATCCTATTTAGTTTGTTTAAATCGGGAGTTATGGGCTTCCCTGGTGGCTCAGTGGTAAAGAACCTGCCTGCCAATGCAGGAGACACAGGTTTGATCCCTGGGTCAGGAAGATCTCCTGGAGAAGGAAATGGCAACCCACTCCAGTATTTTTGCCTGGAGAATTCCATGGACAGAGGAGCCTGACGGGGTACAGTCCATGGGGCGGCAAAGAGATGGACAAGACCTTGTGACTGAGCACAGCACAAATTGGGAATTATACACAGTAAAGTACATAAACTAATTATAAAACTAACATTCTCAATCTGCTTTTCAATACTCTTCATCTTCTAACCCTCTTACCCTATACTCCAATATGTGGATGGATCTATATACTATTAGTTTTACTCGATTAGACCTCTCCAAAGGCAGGGCCTATGCTTATCTACATGGAACCGAGAGCACATACTGGAGATGACAACATGTTAAATAATAAACAGTTCCGTTGTACAGCAACAAAAGCCTGCGGCTCAGACAGTTGACTAGTAACTTAAACAGGTCAGACAGGATTATGCTACAGCTGGAACCATGAACAAAATATTCTTCCCAGGAAGAAATTAATGGAGAATTTAAACGTTAATATGAGGAAATGATGAACAATAAATCCCAGATGAGAATGTCTACAGGGGCATCCTGATCAGTGAGTTAAAATCAATCACAATTTGAAATCTTTCCCAAATTAAAAGATTTAGAAAATAAACATTGTCTTTAGGTATATTTCAAATAGTTTTTTAATGAAAATATTTAGAAGTAGTTGGCTTTAGCTTTTTAATGCAGATTCATTTAAAGGTCAGTTAGGATTTACTTCTGCTCTTACTTATATTCATTGTCTTTGGGATGGTTTTGGTAACTGTTTCCTGCACAATGTTATGAACCTCCGTCCACAGAAACAGTGACACATTCTATTTTCTTGGGCTCATAAATCACTGCAGACGGTGACTGCAGACATGAAATTAAAGACACTTGCTCCTTGGAAGGAAAGCTATGACAAACCTAGACAGCATATTAAAAAGCAGAGACATCACTTTGCCGACAAAGGTCCATATAGTCAAAGCTATGGTTCTTCCAGTAGTCATGTATGATTGTGAGAACTGGACCATAAAGAAGGTTGAGTGCTGAAGAACTGATGCTTTCAAACTGTGGTACTAGAGAAGACTCTTGAGAATCCCTTGGACTGCAAGGAGATCCAACCAGTCAATCCAAAAGGATATAAACACTGAATATTCATTGGAAGGACTGATGCTGAAGCTGAAGCTCCAATACTTTGGCCACCTGATGCAAAGAGCTGACTCACTGGAAAAGACTCTGATGCTGGGAAAGATTGAGGGCAAGAGGAGAAGGGGACCACAGAGGATGAGATGGATGGATGGCACTATCAATTCAATTGACCTGAGTCTGAGCAAACTCTAGGAGATGGTGAAGGACAGGGAAGACTGGTGTGCTACAGTCCATGGGGTCGCAAAGAGTTAGAGACAACTGAGCGACTGAGCAACAACAAATATTCATTTTTATTAAAAAGAAAGTATTTTCAACACAGTTTGACAAAATATCAACATAGGACTTTTTAAGCATGTACAAAAACATGTGGTTAGAATCAACTGCAGATAAAATAAAACCTTGTACATATTTTAAGACTAGCCCCCATTCCAAGGTAGCTATGGACCTGGGTTTAAAAATGCCAGATAAATCTATGGCACAAATTCTATTTCTGAATAGGTAAGGAACTATATAAAATGACATTATAATTATAGACAAAAGTTTAACTTGGAAAAACTCTTTAATATAAGGTATGATGATTTTTAAAAAGATACTGGATAAATTGCAAATCTAGAAGTTATAAAAAAGTAACCTCTCTGTTCTAGATAAGGGAATTAACCTTCAAAATTCTTTATGTCATCACAAGCTGCTTATCCACCTAAGTCAAAACAATGGATTCCACAGAGATAGTCTCATTTGGTCAACTCTTGGCCCATGTTTCTTCAGTTCCTAACCTTTGGTGTCAGCTTATCTCCCTGCTCTTCACACCTCTTCTAACTTGTAAATATACCAAATGGATGAATATAAAAGTGGTTTATTTTATGTATATTTTATGCGTCAGTGGGGAATTAGTTACAAAACCCAGAGGAGAATTCAAATTTCTTCATCCCCAAACTTAGGGCAGCAGTAAGCTTTCCATCTCAGTTGGGATTCTTATTCTCACTAGGTATGCAATCCTATGACATTTTTGACAAAGTTACATGTTTCCACATTATTTCCAGTTTACGCGCGTGTGTGTGTGTGGTTTTTGTAAATGAGGAAGCCATGTGCAGCGGTCTATAAACCTTCCAATAGCACCTCCATGGCAAGACCTCCACTCTACCAAAATGACCAGAATGCTAAAAGTAACGTTTTCTTCCAAAATCTGGCAGATTTCCAACATACATTTAATTCCTCCTGCTGGACCAATTTCATCACAAGTTACCCAACCAAATTATGCTGGTATGGGCAGAAGTAGCTCAAGAAAAACGAAGGGGCTAAAAAGTGCTATAACAAAGACTGAGAACTTTATCTATCTATTTCCTTACTAAGGTACTTCCAACTGAAACCTGAATCAGTATTCCCAACAAATGACATAAAATTTTTTAGTAGAAGTGTTCTAGAAGAACCCAATTAATCTAAGAACTTTGAAATAAAAACTAAGTATTTTTTCAATAAAGTCTTATGGATAAACCTTCAGTTTGCTGGTTATTTATTATTCCTATAGAGCTGATTCGATCTCTTTGTAATCCCCTGAACAGACTCTTTTCAGTCCCATCTTCGAAACTTTACTCATTCTGTGCTCCATGGAACTCTCTCTACTGTCCACACATTTAAATCTATTCTTTATTTTAAAAACCAGCTGAAACTTACTCTTCCATAAACTATAATTCTATCACCCATAGTTTGAATCCATAATATCTACCACCTATAACTCTCATATGACAGTAATTTAAAGAGAAAGTAAGTGAAGCAGATATGAGCATGGGCTATAGAAGCAGACACCTAGAGGTTTAAATCCAGCTCTATCACTTACTAACTTTATGACCTTAAGCAAGTTAGTTAGCCAAAGTTAGTTATGACCAAGGCAAATTAGCCAAAGAATTGATGCTTTTGAACTGTGGTGTTGGAGAAGACTCTTGAGAGTCCCTTGGACTGCAAGGAAATTAAACCAGTCAGTCCTAAAGGAAATCAGTCCTGAATATTCTTTGGAAGAACTGATGCTGAAGCTGAAGCTCCAATACTTTAGCCACCTGATGTGAAGAGCTGACTCATTGGAAAAGACCCTGATGCTGGGAAAGATTGAAGGTGGTAGGAGAAGGGGACGACAGAGGATGAGATGGTTGCATGGCATCACTGACTAGATGGACATCAGTTTGAGCAGGCTCCGGGAGTTGGTGATGGATAGGGAAGCCTGGCGTGCTGCAGTCCATGGGGTCACAGAGTCAGACGCGACTGAGCAACTGAACTGAACTTAGTTAACCTCCTTGTGCCTTTTTTTCCTCATCTGTAAACAAGGCATAATTAAGTATTTATAACACTCAGACCCAACACATAAACTGGAAGTGGTTTGGAGTGCTGAAATAGTAACTACAATAGCTGGAAGAGATGGATTACTATTGCTGTTCATTTGACCAGTTGTGTCCAGCTCTTTGCGACCTCATGAACTGTACCACGCCAGGCTTCCCTGTCCTGCGCTACCTACTGGAGTTTGCTCAAACTCATGTCCATTGAGTTGATGATGTCAACCAACCATCTCACCCTCTGTCCATATTCATAGACTACAGCTTTGTGATGAGATCTGAAAGCCAGGTTTGGGTTCATTACCATGGCAGTTTTGGACAATGTCCATGAAGCAGGATTAGTGTCCTGATATTGAGGAGTTCAAGCTGTGAGTCAGCAAGATGGGGAAGAAGATGGTATCCTTCATATCCTGGGCTCCACACAGTATCAGTAAAGATATTTACAAATATGATGAAAACAGAAGGGCACAGCTCATGGTTTCAGAAAGAAATAAAACAGCATTTATTGATTACAAGCCCTTGGTACTGATCATCCTAACAGTAGTAAAGTGAGTGAGTGAGTAAAAGTCACTCAGTCATTTCCGACTCTTTACGACCCATGGACTATATAGTCCATGGAATTCTCCAGGCCAGAATACTGGAGTGGGTAGCCTTTCCCTTCTCCAGGGGATCTTCCCAACCCAGGGATTGAACCCAGGTCTCCCGCATTGCAGGCGGATTCTTGACCAGGTGAGCCACAAGGGAAGCCCAACAGTAGTAGGGTGAACTGCAAATATTTCAGCAAGAGAGATCATCCGAGCGCCAGAATGAAGTTCTATTGCCATGAAGGCAACATAGCAAGACAAAAATACACTATCCCATTAACATTCCTCCCCAAATTTACCAACAGGAAGGAAGTCGAAGTGAAGCATACCAAGCGCCAGAACAATATATGCATCTTTTCTGTCTGGAGCTCAGAATCTGAGGCCCTTTCTCAATGTTTAACCTCAAATGAAATGACCCAAATTAAATGAACAGTGTGAGCAACAGTAACAAATACAAAGGACTACAACCATTCACTAAATGACTTGTAGGATAACTTGTTAGCTTGTACATAGAGTAAACTTTCAGAGCCCTCAACAGTTCTAGACATTCATATGGAACCAGATAGGAGCTAATGCAGAAACAATGCAATTTACAGGGGACTGGCAATGTGAAAAAAGAAAAAAAGACATGTCAATTGATAAAAGCAGTGGGAAGGACCTATAGTCAAAGACAAGAGATGAAGTGCTGACTTTTTAA